AAGTTGTTGGTTTTCTAAAGGATGAAATTTATAATTTCTAATAATTTCTGCGTTGTTCTCCCGGAGTATCTAGTCAACTTATCGCAGTATCGAAGTTCTTTCATTAAACTGTGGAGAACTAGTGTCCCCGTGGAACAAAGTGTCGAAGGATGACCCGAGGATCGATAATGTTGGTGATGTCGGGACAAAGAGCTCTTTGTGGCATACATAGAACTTTCGACCCCGCTGGTCAGGCCCCGATTTCTCACGAAATCGCATGCAATGTTCGTGGCACGCGAATTTTTGTCCGTGTCCGCTACTCGTTCCGGGTTATTCAACCATTTTTTCTACCAGATACGTTATTCCCCAGACATATCGGTTCACCCGGCTAGATTTACGGTCCAGACTTATAGCCAGCTGTTCGCATTTCACGCGAGAATGTTTCGCGAATTTCAAGGATTTTTTCAATTTATAACAACCGAGAGAAATATGAATTTTCATTGCAAATACAAAAAAAGTACTGAAAGTTACAGCAAACATGACAAATTTTGTAAATTACATAGTTGGGATAAACCAAAATCGAGAGTTTGATATTTGTATGGTTTCTTTATTTTAACATAAAGTCTACTTTCTGTCATTAATTATAAAATACAATATCATTCAAGTGTCCTCTTCGGTTTTCTGTTACGAGCCCGATGCGTTTGACCCAATTTTCCATTACATTTTCACATAACTGGAATAGAGTTTAATCAGTGGCGAATGCGATATTGTTTTTCAGCTCAGTACTCTTTAGATTATTGGTTCAAAAATTTCTTTAGAAAAAAGTCTAATGATGTTAAATCATACGATTTTGGTTACTGATGTCTCCTTCTCGTGATATTAGGCGGCCATTAATTTTGATCCAATTTACAAATTTCATTTCATTTTTACTTGAATAATATTGTCTTTAGGATGTGACACTCGTCAATTTCGATAACCCTTTATCACAACTATGTAATTCACAAAGCTCGTCAAAATTTTGTACTAGCGTTTGTAACACAAAATGACTAGTTCTTTGGTAAAAACTCTATGAAATAATATTTAACATTAAGAAATATAATGGTGTAGATTTCATTTATTTAACAAATCCTGTATCAGCCATTCTCGCGAGAACACCTGGTACAATTTAGTACTAAAAAAGAACATAGTACAATTAAAGCACAGGGCGAGTGCACTGCATTTTTGCTTTCGTTGCGTGAACTCGCATCGTGCCGCTCCACGATAACAGTAATTTCCGCAAAAATTGTAATTCTGCAAACGTCAGCTGAAAAATATTGCATGCCGACCCGTAATCTTGTAATTATTGCATTATTGGCAGCCAGAAATTCTTTGAAACCACACCTATTACAAAGCAATTTCGCCCTCCCCAGAAAAGAAATTTAAAAAATATTTTGCATATCATTTCTTAAATCTCACAATTATTTTATTATTGATTTGGGTCACAATCGACCCCGCTTCAGTTGACCGTAAGTCTGTAAGCAACATTCGCGATATGAATGTTAAACAACAATAATATATTCGTAACTGTATCGTTATAAAAAAAGGAAAAAGAAAAATGGAAAAAGTTGAAAGAAAAACAGGTGGACTGGAGGATTAGCAGACGGCCTCATTTCAGCACTGTTATTTCGTCCGAATTTACTCTGCGGAACCGCACGAATGCACTGCACGTTGCAATAAACCGTTGCCCTGCATGGATATTAAAAGCGGCATAAATATTAAAGTAAGAAACGAGGGCCAGCCTCAATTGCGTTTCAGAGGGAAAATGTGAGAGGTCCGTGGGAACGAACGGTAACGACGTAACGAAACGAGCCCTTAGGCAAGCTAGCTTATACTTTTAACGTGTCCTCGCTAATTGAACCTTCTACCAACCTTGCATTGTAGACAAAAGAACGTTTAAATGAAAAGTTCCCGTTGAAGAAAGATCTAACGACGCTTTTTACAACCAACATTGATAAAAGACATTTTTATTGAAAGAGATGTCGAGTTGTGTTTTAATGTTGTACTATTGGATACGGTAAGGGCCTCAGGACACTCCGATCCTTTTTTATTAAAATCTATAATTAAATTTTACTCTTTTTTTTTTTACACATCTTCTGTAAGTTTCATAGTTATATCATAAAAATTAATGAGGTCGGTAGCGCAATTGTAATTTTAAAATAGGAGAGTGAACAAATTTTGGTCACACCTTATTAATATTATGATAATATTAAATCTAATTTTCTTCAATTTTGCTTCCTAAAATTTTCGAAAATCTTCTGCGATTTATTAAAAAAAAAAATGGTTTCAATTTCTTAAGAAATTAACTTCAGTCGTTCAAGCTCTTCTTGCAATCTAACAGTACAATTACCTTTTGTACAAATTACTATATAGGATGTATTTCTATCTTCGAGAAATTCATTGCTAGTTTTTCAATCGTAACATGAGTAGAGTAGTGTTACAAAAGAAGCTCGGAATCCAGAAAACAATCATATTGGTATAAGGAAACAAAGTAACGCTTTATTTCGAGGCAAGCACGAGAAACGAGGAGATTTAAGATAGAATAGGATGGTTAAATTGGAGCCGTAGCTCGGAGGTAGCAGTATGTGGCGATTGTCCTCATCTTTCATCGCTCGAGGAAAGGTGAGTTTCGGTGGAGAGAGAGGTCAAAGGGAAGGCGCGAAATGGAAAGCCTTTCTCGAAAACTGTCACCGGAAAAATAGATACAGGCCGCTTATATACGTGCCAGTTGCACGGATTTCCTTTTCCCCTTTCATCCACTTCTTTTTTTTTTCTACATTTTTCACGATGTTTCACAAATCATTCGTTTCGATGTGAATCCTTCAAAGGATCCTTTTTATAATCTCAAATATGTCGGAAAATTTTAGCTTCAACTCGGAGTGCGGGTACTCGAGCCTTGGTTCCGATCGAATATCCGAGCCTTGGCTCATGTCGGGTCGGGTAATAATCGGATCGAGTCGAGTAATGATCGGGTACTTGAACTTAGGATTGGGTCTGATCGCGTAATTAATTAATATTCCAGTATTTTAGTCTTGGGTTGGGTCAGATTAATGATCGAGTACCCGAATCTCAGGTCGAATCGAGTAATAATTAGGTATCCAAGCTTCGGATCGGACCGGGTAGGATCCTGAAATCACGGATATCCGAACAAATTTATATGTTGGATTTTCCTGGGTCCCACTCGAAATCGAAAACAAATTCCTAAATTCAGCGTGGATATTTTTCATTTTCTTCAAGTTTTATTGTAAAATTTATTACCAAAGTTTAGTAATACGTTCCTGAAGGTACGTAACGTCAGAAAATATAAAAAAAGTAGAATTTTTGAAATTCACTTACCAGAACGACCCTCTGAGTCTATCTCTTTTTTACCCTTCTTCAGCATCGATTCTTCTCGTTCAAACTTGAGTTGCGAATAAAGCTAGTCGATAATTCTCGTCGGAGAACGTCCGCAAGTTTTCTCGGTTCGTTCCAATTTCATTAACTGCACTTTAGCCGGACTAATATCGAATGAACGTGGCCAACGAACTTTCCCAACGAAATTTACAAGCTTATCTTCTGGAAGTATCGGAAATTCTTTAAGCACACAATACGATGTTATTAACAACGTTGCCGGTGAAGCATCGTATAACGAAATCCTCTTCTCAGAAACTTCCTACTTTGGCTCAGAATTTTCTGTCGATCTCAGATATTATTAACATTCGGACGTAGATAATCGTTAATGAATAATTTGCAATGAATAATAATCAATTGTAACATTTACATTATGTGGTTTGCTCGTAAAATTCAAGAATGACGACATAGCGCGAATCTACCAGTTCGAAGCTTCGCAAGTTCGAATCCCATTCCATGCAAAAATTTTTTTTATTTTATTTTTCAGCTTTATCTTTAAAGCTTAATAAGAAAAACTACATTTTATTTAAAAAGAACATTACCGTTGTTATACATACAGAATAAATAATATCATTTTGAATAAAAAGATTCTACCTACTCATGGAAATTAGAGAGGAATTCACAAATTTATTTACAATAATTTGCATGATACTTATTATAAAGAATAAGAATGCTTTCTTTTAATTTTTATTTTTATTCCATCATCTACAACGGCTATGTTCGTTTCTCCCTTGAAATCTTCATACTGCAGAGTATTACAGTGTACGTTTATCTTTCCAATATATTGGCTAATAGTTAAGATCAATAACGATTTATTGTACCGAAGCAACTCAATGATTCTTACATACAAGCATACTAAAGTCTATACCTGATCCATAAATTACACGAAACAAAGCCACGAAACGGAAGGGAAGCAGGTAAATCAAAGCACGCTTAAGGAACTCAATGGCATCGAGCCATCGGAACGAAAATTATGATGGCTCGCGTGAGTTTCCGGTTGATCGGAGATAAATATTAGTAGGGATAGCCGCGGTAACGATTTTTCCGACCAGATTATACGGTTTCTCTTTTTTCTCGTTGACGTCGAAACGAACGACGATATAAAGAGAACAAATCGATCACTTATCCGAGATACATCGAAATAGCTGCCAATGTTTTAACGTATCATCTGCTGAATAATAAAATTTGGAATCGTTTCAAAGTTTGCACTGATCTGTAAATAATATCGCAGCGAGATAGATCCTTTATAAATGTCTGAATGAAATATGCAATCCCATTAAAAGAAAAAAAAATACTGCAATGCATCGGTGCATTTACAAAAGATATTTTCATTTTACTTTTTCAAAATTTATATAGAAATGTATTATTACGTGCAATTATAAAATTAAATTGAATAATTAATACAATCATATTATAAATAATTGCAATTATAATGTGCTGTAATATACACGACCTTTTCCACTGTCGCCGTGTTAATAATAATAATTATAATATGCCGGACTATGCGCGGTCATTTTCACTGTGTCGTATAACAGTGTTAAACACCGTAATCAACAGTAGCATTGCCTAATGAAATTTTCCTTCTCGTTGAACAGGTGCAATGAGCTAATGGCGTAACCGACACCGCGAGGCCCTGAAACCTTGGCCTCGAGTATCCATACCAGTCGTCATAGCACCGATTCTACCGCTTGCATCGGTGCACGCTCGCTCGCGCGCGCGCGTTCTCCAAAACACGTCTAAATCCGCGCGAGCGAGTGACGTGCTCGTCCTTCCCGACGACGACATGTCGTTCCTGTTGAGTCGAGGTGGCCGAAAAGGGCCCATCATCTGCTTCGCTGGTCTTCTATTGATCTTCGCCCTTTATCAACTGGGAATCATCTGTGGATCGATGAAGAACGTGCCCACTGCGATAATGGTTGCCAAAGAGGTAAGCGTTTTTATATAAATTATAAAATACATCAAGCCAGCAGACTTATCCACGTGGAGTCTGACAGTTGCTGTCAAGATCATCTTCGAAGTTAAGCTAAGTTGAGCGGGGTTTAGTCAAAGATGGGTTACCGTTTTGTTAATGGCGCGGCAAAGAGAAATAATAAACAGAAAGAAAGGAGGGAAAGGGATGGGTGGGCGCGGCCATGGTATTTAGGTATTGAAATTTAAAAAATTAAAGTCAAATTGAAACAAAAGACTACTATAGAAACGGGGGGGTGGTTTTGAATAATACATTTAAAGAAAAGCTTTGTTATTCAAAAGATTTAAAGAAAATCCCATGCATTCGCGAGCAGATGCTTAAATCCTCCATTAAAAAACCACGTAGCAATTATTCTTAAGGTGGAAAATCACTTAGATACGAGTGCATTTAAGCTTTCACCAAGTTGTACACAGCATGCATTACGCTATTACGGTGTCGACGATTTACGAGCCGAGCTTGGAGAACTCCCGCAGCCATCTATTACGAATTAGTTTTATCCTAGTTTTCGTGAAACTGTCCTGCAAATAATCCGTAACCAACGCAGTCGGGGGGTGCTCTCGAACAATCCGTGCGATACCCAAACGAACATTCGGACAAACGAGTTCCACTAACTTTGTCCGTGTCTCTGTTTCCATGGATGAAATAACGCGTTCGACGAACAATACGAGAAAACAAACGATCGTGAACAACTATAACCCGAAGAATGTTGGTAACATTTCGTCAGAGACACGAAAAGCGGAAATTAGCGAGGACTGTATGCTTCATTCCCTGATGCTTGCTTGTAGCCACGAACAAGAAGTTGATACGTTTCACATGCGAGAAAATTCCAACTAGTTTTACCCGTTTCGTTGGGTTCTCCACTCGAGGGGAATAAATTATTATTAATGCATTAAAATAGTTTTTGGATTAAGGATTAGATAAAAAATATAGAGTAATAAAAATTTCATTCACGAGTGACTGACATTGGATACGGTTGATCTATCCAACAAAATGCTAATGAATTAATTAATAATATTGAATAACACTGGCATTATGTCAATAATGAGAATATTAGAAATTTAATGCTCAAACGTCAGAGCTTGGTAAATTGTACTTTGATTAAAATTAGTCACTCGAATTTTTAAATAAAAGAGATTCCTCGATGGCTAGGTATTTTCTTAACGCAAAGAGCTTTTTCTAGTTACTTTTTTCCGGCTGTTAGATTGAAAGGACGCGTGGCTCGTCGATCACGGACGGGCACAAAGTTGCCAGGGAAAAAGCAGATTTTGACCGATCGATCGATTCGCAAACGGTATCCTCGCGATTACAGTGGATCAATTAGCTGGCTAAGACCGAGGGTCAAGATTAAATCGCAATTTTCTCCCTGGTTCGTTCCATGTCCGACGCTTCTCCTCTAGGAAGGTGACGCTGACGTATCCTCATCGCGACTAATCTCGACGAACAAAAATCCAATTTCAAAGTTTCCATAGCATAGACAAAGTTCCAAGGAAATTTCTGGCCTCTTCTAAGCCACAATATGAGTTCATAGCGAGTGCTAGGGTACCGACTTTCCTCATAACCCATGCATAGAGACTCGTGTACAATTGTCAAAGTCCTGACAGGATTTTCTCGTCTCTTGTTAACAATTATCAATGGAAATGGCAATGGGTAGTAGAGTACATTATAATTGTAATTATTCAGAATACGATAATTTTGTAATTTTAACTTTCCAGTTGGTACCTTAGGAAATTAATATCATAGAAGAAGTACAGCATATTTGAAATACCACAGTATCTAAAAAAATGGTTGAAACTTTACTTTGGAGCATATAAAATTATTGATAGAATGCAACTTGACTTAACGCGCGCAAAGTACATCTACAGATAAAGACATTTGAGTTATTTCGCTAAAATGAATGAATTATTTTTAATAAAAATAAGTAGAACTGTTCCTAATTACCTGTACGGTAACAAAATCGTTACTTCGTATTATTTTTCAATTACATCAAAGTTTCAGATTCTTTTTATTTTTCATTATTACTGAGAATATGAAAGGTAACAATTCATTAATTTCTCTTTGATATTATGCAATTTTACCTGTTGCAAATACTGGTATTTTAAATATGCTCTACTTCCTTCAATAATGACGTAGAATTTTTTAAAAATTTTTCTCCTTCAGTTATTCATTATTTCACTACGAAAGTCATCTCTGTTGTCGTTATATCTTTATATAATATGCAATGTTGTTTGTCGTCGAATCGATTTTCCTTCATGTCTCATCAGCGCGTCCCTTGTCCAAAGTAATTAATTGTTTTCATAATGGGACAGCGATGGAAATTCGATTAAGAACTTCCTTGATCTTATCGAACATCCTGGAAGCGAAGTAAAACGTTGTTCTGATGGAAAATAATATTTCAAAAATCGATCCTCCACTAATTTGACCACCGATAAAATTGACGTGTTTACTAGCAACCCCAACTTCTCGGAAACATACAATTTTCTTCGATATTTCATTATTTGTCTCTCAATTCATTCGATTCTATTCTCACGTTTCTGTTCGTCGATATAGATGGAAACACAGCTCTTTTATTACTCCCCGGGAATAATCGAACTGAGTGTTTTCCTTTCGACGAGATTAGAGACATTCGTCTTCCGTTTGGTGGAAAAATAGAAAAGCGATAAGGCGTTGGAAAGGAAAATGTATCCGGTGATCAGAGAAGCAACGAAAGATGTTTGTTCTACGGATCGATCTTCCATCGAGTTCCCTTTAAAGTTTCACTACTGACACATCGTCTCTATTGGAATTAGAGTCGCGTTTTAATACGACAACATGGATTTTAATGCGACGACCTACCCTTTGAGAGTAATCTCTTTGTTCCTGGTTCCAGTGGCGCTTGTTAAGAAATCAAGGAGCAGCGCTTCCGACGAGTAACGCTGCCTCTTTGGTAACACTGTTAACCCTTTCTGCAAAGGTAACAAGATAATACGAGCTTGATCGATCATTCGTTTTCCTATACCAAAGATCCGTCCGAAGAGTCGGCGATACACGGTACTTACACGCACTGTATCCATAGATATTCGAAGTAGAAAAGATTAAAAATGAAATATAAAACATTATTAAAGAGTTAGGTGATTTAAACCAGCAATTAGATAGGTTTACGAGGTCCCATTAAGTTAGAAAGAATTTCAAAGTTTCAAAACGATATAAAGAATCTACGAGGATCTGGTGTTCGATAAATTAAAGTGGAATTTCCGGAGGGAAAGGAGAAAAAAGTTGGGGGAAATTTAATCGTCGTCACCTTTCGTCGTTGAAAACGAACCCGACAGAAGAAAACGAAAAGGGGGGATGAAGTTAATTCGCACGATAAAGTCCGGACGGCGTTACTTTAATTACGTCTAGCCCAATTCCAGCTCCAGATCTCCATTGAAATTTTCCCGGGAACTGGTGGAAACGACGTGAGACGACGTCCACTTCATGCCTCGATGATCGAGCTAATAATAATCCGACTAATACTCGTTCTTTCAGGCTGTCCAATAAGAAAATTACTACTGCCCGACGTCTGTCTTTCCTTGTCCGACTATATCGGTACTCTACTACTTATATCTGAGAGTTCAGACTTTCTTTCAATTATAGAATTTCATTTCTTTTGTTTAATTTCTTCATTGTCTTACCCATGATAAAAATTATTATTGTGAATATTAATTTTAGAGTAGGGGCTTAGATCAGAAATTTTTTTTCAGGTTTGAATGAGATTTTGAAAATTTATCTAGCACATCAATTTGTTAAGGTATCCGTTCATACACCCTATTTAGAGTCATTTAACCCTTCTACGTTAACCTTTTTTAATCTTAGCAATTACCATGATCATTTTTCAATAGTGATTTTTTATTATAAAAAAGAATGCGAGAAAGGGTGAGGTTCTAAGTTATTTTCACTATCGTGAAAAGAGGTTGCGATTTAGAAACGGTTGGGAAACACTGATATAAAGGGATGAAATCGCAGCCGCTCAGCTCAAAAGCCTCCCCAACACCCTGGATTCTCGCTCCTATATTTTGCGACCTTCCCGGTCGTGTCGTCAAGCGAGAAAAGAAGAAGAAAAAAAAAAGCGAGGGACAAGAAGAAGCAACACGCGTGAATACGTGTACGCTGGAAGGTTCGCAGGTTACAGCCGACAACTGGAGCGAACGGAAGAGAAACGAGTGTCTGTCGAGCTCACCCTCCGTGCAACATAAATCGCGTCGGTTGAGTTTCACGCGTACTTTTCTCCGTTCGCTTTTGGCGAGAAGCGAAAAGAGAATGGAGGGGTTGACAGGACTAAACCACCCCTCTCTCGCACCCGTTGCATCGGGAATACTAATTACGAAATGTGCCCTGCTTTTTCATCTCTTATTTCCTTTCAACCGGGATGCCTGCCCGGTGAAAAATCGTAAAACGCGTGCCACCACGACGTTCACTCGCGAACGCGTCTTTATTCAAGAAAACGAGAGTTTTCTTTATGGAGGTGAGATATTTTTCTGAAGAATAAAGCTTCCGACTTAACCTGTCGCCCGATTTATCTGCAAAACGTCTGGTTGATGTATTTACGAGCTCTCTTTTTGCAAAGATGTGTTTCTTCGATATCTTCATTTATTTATTACATTCTAAATTATTATACAAACATTTCTTCTGTTATTTTTAATAGATTTATTTTATTAGGAAGATTGATAATTTATTTTTATTTTCTTTTTACAATCTTCAATATATTAAAGAGAGTTATTTAAAAAGGCAAAATATCATTAATCTAAGGACAATAAACGCGTATCATGAAGTCTACCCTTCATTTCCATGTCATTGTAATTTTAATCCCGTCGCTAATTGACCCGCTCGTCGTAAAATTCTCCTCGACGCTTATAACGTCGCACGTTAGAAAAATCTACAGCATTTTTTTTAGAAACGAAACGTCGCGAGTTTAAGCTTGAAATCATGATTGAAATCCACTTCCTGAGGATATATACGGTGCCTCCAATTAAATCGCGGTTAATTAATTTCATCAAAGTAGAACGCGATCGATGTAATAATTAAAGCGACATGACTTATCAATTGAAATGTTAATTACCAACTTTTTTTATTCGAAACCTGTGCGACTGTTAATATAAATCACGAAGGCTGAATTTCAGGGGCTGGTTTATTCGTCTCTTGCCAAATAAGAGCATGAAAAACAAAAATTGTGGACGCAGGGTGGCACGTTATTTCACGTGCAAAAAATGCTAATTACAGAACGTATTCTACCACTGTTTTTGGACATCGAAAGGGTGTGGGTAGGTTTTATACCTTTTCGGTATCATCTTTTGTAAACCTATGTAAAGTTTTCCTATTTTCCATGCAAATTTTATTTATTATAGTAGCACCTAAATTCGTGACCTTTTTTTTCTTATTGATTTATTTATTAATTTTTAATTAAAATCACTAGGAGTCGTATGTGAAATATTCTAGATATTAAATATAGAATCTCTATGCGGGCTTTTCTTTTCTATTTTGCCTAAAAGTAAATGCAGCCCTGGTAATTACCAACGAATCAATTTATTTTTTATATTAATATTGATTTTCTTATTCCTCTTTCATATTTGAAGGGAAACTTAATAAGTTTTAGTTGTAATATTTTTTAAGTACAGCAAAGTATTTGTCTTGAAATTTATTTGTAGAAACCAAATAGCCACAGGATTTCACGAGTATATAGACCGTCAGGAAATTATACGGTATAATTTAATTTCAATTTGTGAACCATATTAATGAACGCTAGTGGTCAGCGTTTATTAATAATCATGGAAAATGCATTGACCATTCGATCGGATGATAAAGTTCTTGATATAATGTTTGCTTAATCGAGCTCGGTGTCAGTTGAAATGTTATCCTACTTCGCATTGATTGCGGCTAATTAAACCATACAGAGGGACTATTAATTTTCACGTTCAACCGAAGGGTTTTTACATCTTATCGTTTCATTAATGAGCAAAAAATAGAATGATGGAATAAAATTCCAATCTGTACGTGTTAAAATTTTGGTCCCGCTTATCCACATTTTCGGTCTTTAATAAGGCATGTAAAAAACTACTAAGCAATGCATTTTAAGTTACTGAATGGCATAGAAAAGATATGTATTGGAACCCCTAATTGACCCTATCTGGTATGTAAAGAGATATACATATGTATTTGAAAAAATTCTGAAGATAAATTTGCTTCATTTCTCATGGCACAATTCTTACGAGTGTTTGTTCAAACGTTCATTATTTTCTCATTTTTATTCGCGGAAAACAAATGTGGCACAGTTGCTGACACATGCGCCTAATGTCTCTAACGAGTGTGCATAAAATGACAAATACATGACTCAATTTTTGAAAAAACACGGAAGTAGGAAGTTGAATAAATGATAGTCTGAGAAATCGTTGAAACTAAACTTTCCCTGGATCGAATCGCGAACGTTTTAGAAGGAATCGATGATTCCTATAACGAAACTTCGAAGTTATTGATCCTGGCTCGAGGTTCTTGTTCCTGAAGACGATATTTTAGAACAAACGACGAGTTGTTGGTAACTAAAGTTTAATCAAGCCTGTATAATTTTATAAGAATCGCTTGGTAAACTGCTCTCTTAAACGTGGCTAAAGGAAACTTTCGATCCTCCATCCGATATCCCATTAACGTTGATCATCGTTAAATAATACCAGACTTACGGTGAAATTATAGCAGAATTTAAAGAGTAGACAGCAAATATGCTACATAAAAGCCATCCTTTATCAATAAAAACATAGAAAACTCCAAATTTGCAATATAATATTTTATTTTAAATAAGTTTCTGAAGTGAATAAAAATTTGGTTTTGTATTTCTTTTATTGTCGGTGGATAGATCACGAAAAATCGAAGTGAAAAGTTCTATAGCATTTTTCGATGGAATCAGTAATTTAGCCACATGTCATTGTTGAAAATTGAAAAATTGACCAATCATCACGGTTCGCTGATCTATTAGTGGGTCATACCTAGTTGTTTCAATTTATTAAACAATTTGATAAATTGTACGCGTACAATTTTCGTCTGTATTCTGTAGTAGAGATTGATATCAAACATATCCAAAAAACCATAAAATTACTATCTTTACAATAGCAAACAACGTTTGAATTATTTAAATAATTAATTAATTCCGTCTCCACTAAACTCTCGGCGCATGCGTAAACGCGACGTGCAGCGGCGCATGCGTAAGCGCAACGCTCAGCGGCGCATGCGTAAGCGCGACACTCAGCGGCGCATGCGTAGGCGCAACGCTTAGCGGCGCGGCTCGTCGGCGGCAGAAGGGGTTAGTCTCCTACTCCGCGGGTCTTGCCACTCAAGCTGCGCGCTAATTGCTCAATTTTTCAATTTTCAACAACAAAATGTGGCTGAACTACTGTTCCCATCGAAAAATGCTACAGAACTTTTCACTTCGATTTTTCGTGATCTATCCAGTGGTGTAGAGATCTTCAGGGTATTTTTACGTAACACTTGCCATTATAACAAGAGTCTATTGTAGTATCTATTGAATAATAGGAACAGCTATTAATACAGTGTTATTTCTATTTTACAGAAATACGTGGTTGGTCCATTCGACCATAAAAGGTACACCTACGATCGTTACATGCCGCTAATTTTCATCGGTGGTGTACCACGATCAGGTACTACTTTGGTACGCGCCATGCTCGACGCACATCCTGATGTCAGGTGAGTTTCATTTACCTTCTTTTACTATACGAAGCTGGTAAATTGGCAGATAAAGAAAATAAGGGTCTAATTGGTTGTTCCTCACCTTATCTTATACCAAGAATCGTTGAATAAGAGAAACTTACCTCGTGCTATTCTGTTTCTCGGTACTACAGCATTCGGCTTCGATTCTTAGTTATGACTGTACCTTCCCCTGCTGACTTGACGTTCGGTCGTTGGTGCTGGGCGGGTTGCAGGTTTCAGGCGCTTTTTACTCGAATTTTTAAACATTAATTACAGGAAAACAAAGCCGCAAACGCTATTTCGTTATTCTTGATTTTCGTCTTATTTTGATCCCTAGATTCACCCCTTAAAATTTTGCCCACCTTTTGTTGAATACCCTGTATAATATGTACTCTTAGCCTTGGTGCATTATATTAAGCAGACCTATCTATTAATTAAACTTCTGTAAAACTAGAAAGCCGACCGATGTGTGGGTGTGGAGAGGATTACCTTGTTAACTTTGCCTTGCCCGATTGTCAATTTACTAGCTTCGTACAGTAGAACAGTACAAATTAAATATACTTGAATAATTGAAAGAAAAGAATAGAAAAATATTATTTTGAATTGCGTTGCTGTTATTTTATAATAATAATATAAGATAAGGAATAGAAAGCTTGAAATTTGAAAATTAAATATTTCTATTTTTATTAATTAGAGTTTTAATATGTTTTATTACAGCGAGTATTTTCATTCCGGCAGTCAACGTATTAATTTTGTGTAGAAGATGGCTTATGTGAGAATTTCTTTCATGACAGATGCGGCCAAGAAACCAGAGTGATACCACGGATCCTCCAAATGAGGATGCACTGGCTCAAGTCCGAGAGGGAAAATCTCCGCCTTTCGGAAGCGGGTATTTCGAAAGAAGTGAGTAAGCCTAATCCTTCTCAAGATTTCCACATTTAAAATAGTACCATAGATGGTTTCTTAGGGCCATTATTTAGTGTAAAGCTCAACAGGGGTGACAAGAGCACTGCTGATGGAATAGAAGTGAAACAAGAAAAAGCAATTCATACTTTCCTAACACATAATGATTATAATATTCATATTCCAGGGAAGTATACCTAACGTGGTACAGATAGTTTTTTAGGAAAAATTGTAAACAAATTTTCTACATAAATGTATCTTTTATAAGATTTTAAAATCTAAATTTTCAAGTCTTGGCTTTGTACAGCGCAACGTTGGGGTAATTAAAAAAATATCATGATAAAATATTGCTTCTTCGCTTTAGAATCTTTAAACAAAGAAATCGCTAAATTGGAACCTTGTTATATCAGCGTGGCTGTTTGATTATCTTTGTCTTTGCCTTTCTATGTGTCCGCCGTCTGAGGTTTAACATTTCATGAATTCTTGCTTCCCTTATATCGCCATTTTCCCTATAAAAGTTTCATTTGATCGCGAGTGTACCATTTGATTAATGTTTCATTAATTTTCATTACTGATTGTGAGTGAAACGTTCGAAGCACCGTCTCAAAGTGAATGATATAAATCAAACGTCGATCAATTATTCGTGAGACATTTCGTGGAACGATATTAATCTGGAAACGAACGATTTAACCAGGTGATGGACAGCGCGATAGCAGCTTTCTGCCTGGAGATAATAGCGCGACACGCGGAGCCAGCTCCGAGATTGTGCAACAAGGATCCCCTCACTCTGAAGATGGGCTCTTACATTCTCGATCTCTTCCCAAATGCCAAGTTTATCTTCATGATCCGCGACGGTCGTGCCACCGTGCATTCCATTATCTCGAGAAAGGTATGGCTCGATCCGATCGAAGAACCATCGAGCGACCGCCAGCCTGGCTTTAACGGGCATTCCGGTTGATGCATGCAAATTTATCCCACTTCATCCGCGAATATGAAAACGCGACGTACTCTTTGCATAGAGAAGAGGTGGGGGATAGGAAAAAAAAAAGACCAGCGGGAATTTACGTATTCCTCTAATGCAAAAAGGATGATAAAAACGGAACGTCGGATCGTAGAATTATGTATGTAAATCGAAGGGAATCGTTTCTTTTTTTTCTTTCTTTTTTAAGCTCTAGTATCAACGATTTCTCTGCAAGTTTAATCGGATATTGTTTTATTCTTCAATGTAAGGCAAAGAGTCCATCACTTTTTTTCAATTTATAATTTAAAACGGTATTTTATTAGGCCTTATTGATACATAATTACAATGTCTTTCAGGTCACCATAACAGGATTTGATTTGTCGTCTTATCGGCAATCTCTTATCAAATGGAATCACGCGATTTCCATCATGTACGGACAATGCAAGGAAATAGGAACGGACAAGTGTCTGATGGTTCCGTACGAGCAACTGGTGCTACACCCTCGTCAATGGATGAAGAAGATCTTGAACTTCCTCGACGTTCCTTGGAACGAGTCCGTGATGCATCACGAGGAGTTCATTAATAAACCAGGCGGAGTGCCATTAAGCAAGTAAGGAAACAACCATTCATAAAAGATTAGAAAATTGTTTTTATCGTTAACAAAGATCACTTCAAATTCCTGGAAGTGAAAATATTGAATTAAAATAATCGTATGCTTTGATGCGTGGTGAGCAGATACTAAATTCCATTGCATTTTTCGGTATGCAGGGTCGAGAGGTCGTCGGATCAGATCATAAAGCCGGTTAACCTGGAGGCATTGACCAAGTGGGTGGGCCACATTCCGGACGACGTGGTCAGAGAGATGCCTGACATCGCGCCGATGCTTTCTGTCCTCGGCTATGATCCTTATGCTAATCCGCCGGTCTACGGAGCGCCGGACAGACTGGTTAGCGAAAACACGAGACGGTATGTAGCCGAGTAATCGGGCTACGTTTAATTAGCATTCCCTTTGATCAGACGTACAAGATATTTCTAATTAATTAAAGAATTAAATATAAGAAAGGTTTTTAAAATATTAAAAATTTGTCAATTTCCAAGAGACTGCTGTATATATGTGACGCCATCTACTGTGAGGTGTTAAAAAAGAACTCCTTGATCTTGCCGATAGTTCTCTTACAGTTCTCCTCCTCGATACCAGAGGCGCCACCTTTTGCCCCCCTCGTTTTGATGAATTCTCAAAACTTTAAACGCAAGCCCCCAACTACTGCACTCCTGATATCCCTACTTCCACTATTTCTCTTGCCATTGAGTCTAGAGCTCCCAATCCCTCACTTTTCACTCATGCTATCATTTAATATTGTTACTTTATTCAGGGTGCTAGCAAATGGAGAAGTATGGGCAGCCAGGGCACGCCAGTTCTCCCTGGAGAAGCTAATAGAGCTGAGCAAAGAAGACGAAGCTACTAACGCTCCAAACGCGTGACCTAGGATACATGTTCCCCTAGGCATGCGGACTTTGAACCTGTACAATTTCTGTGACGTCTAACGACGGTCCTGGAAGAGCCAGTTTCTAACAAATAACCAGAAGGAGCATTTTCTTCGTTTGAAAATCGTTCTTGAACTCGAAAAGCCGTGCTCGACCGCTTCCACGAAGGGACTCGAAAACGACTAACTGTTACCTGGCGAACAACAGGGACGCGTCTAGTTTAAGATTGAGCATTAAGCGTGTATATACGCGTGGCAACCGATGCTGTTGCAAAAATGGTTGTTCTCTCTGTATATTTTAACCGATAGACGTTTACTTCGATTCATACCGTGTACCTAATCGTTCACGGTTACACTGTGTGATTTAGCTTTGCTCGTTTGGATGGACCGTGCGACGAAGAGCATTCAATTTGATTCGTTGTGTATATGAGCGAAAGAGTGCGAGAGATTCTGATTGTTTCCATTTTCTTTTTTACACCTTACCATCCAGAAAACGAATTTATCCATTAAGCTTTCAATGGTTGATAACTCAATCTCCTCCTCGATACTCCTTCCAATTTTTACTTATTAAATTGATCTGCATACAGTGGGTAATGTTTCATCATTGATGGAAATCGTTAGATACATGCTACTGTTGGAACAGTTTCTGTACATTTCACTCAAATGGCCAGTGATAAGGATATAGATTATGGAGGTACAAATACAGATTATGGAGGTCCCTTTTCTGTAATGGTATCTGCGATTTCTGTACATTTTGTTGTAACAGATCTGAGAAATATTGAAAATGATGCGAGCTAAAGATTTTATACTATATTTGGTATCTTGGTGAAAATGAATTTCTTTCTGTTATATTCTGTATGAAAGGAAAGTATGCCTTCATGTGTGGTACTTATTATTGGTGATTCATTAAATTGAAACTCGCCAGTTGTTTGATTGTTCAGTAATGAAAAGAGTCTGTACCGTGCTTTTCTTGTCTTTTTGGTTTTCTAAACTAGGGTCATTTTCAAAACTGGCGAAAATTGTTCTGTTCTGTGTTAAATTGTTACAAACGTGTTTGTAAATTGGCTCCGGGCGAGAGAAATTATATTTGTACGCTATCAAAACATGTAAAAATGTGGTGAATTAACATTTCAAAATGAAACTATCTATCTGACGAACCGTTTTCTCGGTTTATGTTTTTGTTATGGACTGTCGATAAATGATCTGCAGCAAGTGTTGCTGCAAGAATTTGCTGTAACTATATTGAGAACAGTGTTATTAGGTTTTGTCAAATGGCACCTGATACAAATGCAACAACTTCAATGTGGCATTATGTCATTCGTGTCAACTATACTCATGTCTATCGAATTATATGATTAAATTATTTTAATATTATGATGAGTCTTGATTAATACATCCTTCGTTCAATAATTTAATTTTATTCTTCAAATATGATTACATATTTTTCACAATTTTACATAATTATAATGATATAAAATTACTAATTGTAAATTCTGATTCTGTTCTATTCAACTCTCGCGATAACAGGAACAATATCGCTATTGCCATCTAGCAATAGTCAATAGCAATTTTTGAATATTTTTTTGTGGAATTTCGTAATTTTGTCAATATTGATATTCAAAATTAATTTAAAAAAACATGAATAATTATTAATTATTACATATTATACAATTTAGCACATCATTAAGAATTATAAATAATAATTGTGACAAAAAATAATTTGCTTTACAATCATTCTATTACCGCACCTCAAACTAACATCTGGAAAAACAATTTTCACTTTCTTTGACTCTATTTTTTTTTTTTAAATCAATCAAAACCAGCACAAAACTGAACAATTATTATTATAATTGTTTGACAAACTTGTATTCGCTTCATGCACTTTGATAAATAAATCATTTGACAAAAGCAACTAAATTATTATTTAATTTACCCAATTTCATTTCTGAGTTATTTATTTAAAACTCGTAATTTCTTTCCTCAGCTATTTATTTAATTGACCTAAATTCTACTATCATTTTAGTTATTGAATGTACTTAATTTCGTTTCTCAGTTATCTTATATATATAAAATACAATGTGCTTCGGGGTCCCTGACACCCCAGATGCCATATTGTCGGTGTGTAGAATCATCTGAGCCTCGGGGTCCTTAGAACCCCGAAACAATATTATTTGGAAATACAGAATCGGCCGTGCTCGGGGTTCTTAGAACCCCAAGACAATATAATTTGGGTATACAGAATCGTCGGTGCTCGGGGTTCTTAGAACCCCAAGACAATATAATTTAGGTATACAGAATCGTCGGTGCTCGGGGTCCTTAGAACCCCAAGACAATAATATTTAGATATACAGAATCGGCGGTGCTCGGGGTTCTTAGAACCCCAAGACAATATAATTTAGGTATACAAAATCGTCGGTGCTCGGGGTCCTTAGAACCCCAAGATAGTATAATTTTAGTATGCAGCATCCACAGTGCTTGGGGTCCTTAGAACCCCGCAACGATAAAATTTTAGCAACCAACATGCTGCTAACCGTAAGAAATTATAAAATATGATTATTTTTAATGTTTCGTGGTGTATTTCGTTTGTAATTCTTTTGTAATTAGCAATTTTATTTCATTCATAATGTGAGCCGAAACATTTTAGTAATATTTTATAATAAACAGATTTGGCGACAACTGTTATCTGTAATTGATAGAAATCATTTGTGATTTACAAATATATCATTTTTATTGTTTGTGAGTGAATAATTTCTTAATTATTCACAAGTTTGTTATATAATAAATAATTGTAGTGCGCATGCGCTACAGATCCGATCGTACCCATCACTACCTCGAACAGAGAGTTTCACGATTTGTTCGTTTTTCGTTCTTATATTTCGCTAGATCCGCTCAAACCCATCACTATCCCGAACAAGTCAGTTTCCCGATTTGTTCGTTTTTCGTTCTTATATTTCGCTAGATCCGCTCAAACCCATCACTATTCCGAACAAGTAAGTTTCTCGATTTGTTCGTTTTTAGGTCTTATATTTCGCTACTTACTGGGGTCCTTAGAACCCCGAGACATTCTAATTTGGATATACAGAATCGTCGGTACTTGGGGTCCTTATAACCCCGAGAGAGTATAAATTCGGTATACAGAATCGCCAGTGCATGGGGTCTTTAGAACCCCCAGAATATATAATTTAGGTATACAGAATCGTCGGTGCTTGGGGTCCTTAGAACCCCGAGACAATATTATTTAGATATACAGAATCGTCGGTGCTTGGGGTCTTTAGAACCCCGAGACAATATATTTTAGATATACAGAATCGTCGGTGCTTGGGGTCTTTAGAACCCCGAGACAATATAATTTAGGTATACAGAATCGCCTGTGCTCGGGGTTCTTAGAACCCCACGACAAGATAATTTAGGTATACGGAATCGTCGGTGCCCGGGGTTCTTAGAACCCCAAGACAGTATAGTTTTAGTATGCAGCATCGACAGAGCTTCGGGGTCCTCAGAACCCCGCCACGATAATATTTTAGTAACCTACATGCAGCTAACCGTAAAGAATTATAAAATATGATTATTTTTAATGTTTCTTAGTGTATTTCGTTTGTAAATCGTTTGTAATTGATTGTGTGTCTATTTTTAACAAAGTAGTAACAAATTAATTCTTTTGTAATTAGCAATTTTATTTAAATCATGATGTGAGCCAAAACATTTTAGTAATTTTGAATAATAAACAGATTTTGTGACAACTGATAACTGTAATTAATTGGAAATCGTTTGCGATTTACAAATATGTTATTTTCATTGTTTGTGAGTGAATAACATCTTAATTATTTACAAGTTTGTTTTATAATAAATAATTGTAGCTCCTTAATACCCGAATATGATATCAGGTCCGTATGAAGAGGGCACAATAAGTATAATTTTTTTTCATAGTTTATTTAATTTACTTCATTTCTGTTTTTTTGCTTATTAAATAAGCTCATCGAAGGGGAATAACATTTATGATTATATCCCTCTTCTGAGTCTCAGCCGTGGACCCCATTTATTTTACTTCTTTCAGTTATTTATATAATTTTATTCCTCATTACAGGCCAAGGCCATCTCAATAGTCCTCACATCCCTGCATTCCTTTCATCCCAGCATTCCTTACATTCCTGCAACCCTTAAATATCATATTTTTTTTTTTTTTTTTTTTTTAACGTGGTGGAAATCTTCAGAAAGACACCTTCAGCCCCCCTGGGGAGGGGCCGGAGGTAGTGTGGGATTTTTACCCACTAAAACCACCACGGTGGCCAGCACTAGGGCAGTAAGGAGGGTGCTTTGACCCTCCGCCATGTGCCAAACTCCGCCGACATCGGGGGCCACACCCGATGCCGGCATCCCTCGGGCCGCGTGCAGTGGAGACCGGGGCCCCAGCCCCGAATCCCTGCGGAATTCCTTTACATCCCCCGGTCCGTTATATTTCAGCTTCCCTTACATCCCTGCATTCTTTTTATCCTTACATTCCTTTCATCCCTACATTCTTTTCGTCTGTATATTCTTTTCATTCCTAAACTCCTTGCATATCTTCATCCCTTACATCCCTACATTCTTTTCATCCCTACCTCCCTTACATCGCTTCATCCCTTACATCCCTACATACTTTACATCTCTTCATCCCTTAACTTCCTACATTCTTATCATCCCTACATTCTTTTCATCCCTACATTCCTTACATTTCTTCATCCCTTACATCCCTACATTCTTTTCATCCCTACATTCTTTACATCCCTACATTCCTTACATCTCTTCATCCCTTACATCCCTACACTCTTTTCATCCCTACATTCCTTATAATAAATATATTATAAAGACTGCTTCGAGTAAAGGTAAATAAAGGTAAGTAAAGGTAAGTAAAGGTAAGTTAGAATTTCGCGAAAATTTCGAAAAACAGCGCCCCCTAGCGGCAAAAATGTGAACTAAAATTTCGATGTTGAATCAGCGCCATCTGATTTCGGAAAAAGGAACTAAACCATGCACCAATTTTGGCCCTCTGGCGGCAAAAATGTGAACTAAAATTTCGATGTCGAATCAGCGCCATCTGGTTTCGGAAAAAGGAACTAAACCATGCACCAATTTTGGCCCTCTGGCGGCAAAAATGTGAACTAAAATTTCGATGTCGAATCAGCGCCATCTGGTTTTGGAAAAAGGAACTAAATCATGCTCAATTTTTGGCCCTCTAGCGGCAAAAATGTGAACTAAAATTTCGATGTCGAATCAGCGCCATCTGGTTTTGGAAAAAGGAACTAAATCATGCTCAATTTTTGGCCCTCTAGCGGCAAAAATGTGAACTAAAATTTCGAGGTCGAATCAGCGCCCTCTGGTGGCGAAAAAGGGAACTAAATTTTGCACGATTTTGCATAAAAATGTTGCAAATATGTGAAGAATGCAGGGATGTAAGGGATACAGAAATATAAGGGATGGAGAGATGTAGGGAATGTAGGGATGAAGAGAATGTAGGGATGAAAAGAATGTAGGGATGAAAGGAATGTAGGGATGTAAAGAATGCAGGGATGTAAGGGATGAAGCGATGTAAGGAATGTAGGAATGGAAAGAATGTAAAGATGAAATGAATGTAAGGATGAAAAGAATGTAAGGATGAAAAGAATGTAAGGATGAAAAGAATGTAGGGATGAAAGGAATGTAGGGAGGAAAGGAATGTAGGGAGGAAAGGAATGTAGGGAGGAAAGGAATGTAGGGAGGAAAGGAATGTAGGGATGTAAAGAATGCAGGGATGTAAGGGATGAAGCGATGTAAGGAATGTAGGGATGAAAGGAATGTTGGGATGTAAAGAATGCAGGGATGTAAGGGATGTAGTGATGTAAGGAATGTAGTGATGTAAGGAATGTAGGGATGTAAAGAATGCAGGGATGTAAGGGATGAAGCGATGTAAGGAATGTAGGGATGAAAGGAATGTTGGGATGTAAAGAATGCAGGGATGTAAGGGATGTAGTGATGTAAGGAATGTAGGGATAGAAAGAATGTAGGGATGTAAGAAAAGCAGGGATGTGAGGAATGCAAACATGTTAGGGATGCTGGGATATGATGAAGATAGGGTTGTAACGGATGTTCAGATGTAAGTTATGCATGGGTGTAAGGGTGACAGAGTTATAAAGGATGTATGGATATACAGAAAGCAGGGATGTAAAGAATGCGGTGATGTATGGAATACTGGGATGTAAATAATGCAGATTTATAAGGGGTGCAGAGATGTAAAGGAATCAGGGAAGTAGAGGATGCACACGGGAGTAATAAAATCAACACGTTCGTCCTCCTAAGGAGTTTATTCAATAAGCTAAGAAGATAAATACAGCAAATTAAATGAACGCAGAAAAAAAATAAGGGTATACGTATGTTTAGCAGGTAGATCTGCACCCCTCGGCGGCCGCTGTAAGACTGATGATGTTTCACTTCGTTCTATGTTGAACGGTTGATAAGGGTGCCGCATCCAGCTACCTTTGTTCGAATCAGTGGCTGCAAATATTTTTTTTTTAAAACTATTTCTATCTGATATTTGTTAATATTTGTATAATTATTATTTTATATTTTACAATTGTTTATTAATAAAATTATTGTTATATCTATTTAAATTGTTCATTTCTTTACATTTTCGTGTAAGTATATTCCAAAATTTTGTTTAATTATTCTATTAAAATTACTAATGCAACGACTGTGATATAAATCACATGAAAATGGTAAGGGGGTTGTAGAGCCCCCTAGCAGTGAGATGGAAAATATACGTAGGCACCATGAATTACCTGCAGAAATTCCGCAAACTTGTCTATTGATATTTTCCTAATTTACCTACTGAAAATCTCCTAATCTGCTAGTTTTAATTATAGAGTGCACCAGAAGAAAATTCTTGGCGGTTAATTTAAAATAAAGAACTCGTTTCATCTCACTTTTCACATTCCTGTTTTCAAGACGCACTATATATAAAATGGGAAGCAGTGAAATTAATTGATCCGTACAATCGGATATACACTTTATTGGTCCAGCTGTTCAACTACATAGAACTATTTATAAAACTTTTACAAAATGCTCAACGCTTCGTAATTGAGAGACCTCTTCGTGTGCCATTGTACCGTTTAAAACGTAAAGAAGTCACGAGTTTCGTGAACGCCGGTTTGCATCAAGCTTTTCACAAGAATTAAGTATACATCGTGTATGTGTATGTATATGTGTACATCATTTATCAAAGAGAATTCTTCGAAATACACCTAAACAAGAGTCTCGGGAAAGTCGATGTCCAACTGACTTTCCATCTCGAAGTCTATCGTAATTGTGCAAATACTTGTTGGCAAGTCTTCACCTTTCTGTTTTTATTTCGAAACTCTAATACCGTCAGTCTATACAGTGGTTCATAGTGAACAAACAATTTTATTTTACCCTTTCGCTACTTTATTTTGGCCAAATAGTGCATATATTTTTAATTAGACTATGCTGTATTGCATCTATCACTTTTGTCATTAATAAAATTGAAGAATAGATAACACCGTCAAATGCTAAAGCGAATACCTCTCTAAAGGGTAAAGCGCTGACCTAAGCCTCTGCCATTTACAGAGTTTATACTATAATATTTCAATCGTTTTCGCTATATTTCATTTTCATCGCTGATCAAATAAAAAATAAGCAAACTGGAGGATAGGTAACACTGTTAACTTTTAAAATGAATACCTCTTTAAGAGGTACAATGTGGATCTAAGCTTATGCCATTTACAAAGGTAAGATTATAATACTGCAATATTTTCAGTCGTTTACACGTTGTACACTCTCGAAATTAAATATAAGTAAATTAGAAATAAATATTAAAATAAATACCTCTCTAAGTGGCAAGGCACCAAGTTCATGCCATTTATAAAGGTAATATGTGACTCTATAATATTCTCAGTCGTTCTCGCTTTCGTCATTCACCAAATCAAAAATACATAAATTAGAAATAAAATCTAAAATGAATACCTCTCTAAATGGCAAGGCGCCACCCAAATTTGTGCCATTTAGAGAGGTAGTACTATAATACTGTAATAGTTTCAGTCGGTTTTCACTTTCTTCATTCCCTAAATTAAATATAAGTAAATTAGAAATAAATATTCTTAGTCAATCTCACTATTTCTGTCCTCTCAATAGACAAACGAGTATAATCTTCTATTAATGTTTATGAAAATTCAATAGATATAATGATTTTCAGTAGCGAAAGGGTTCCATAAACCATCATTCGAATCGCTTCTTTCACTTCTACCTCCTCGATAGTCTCACTTTAACTCTTAAGCGTACATTTAGTCACGTTATAGTAAATAATAAAAATAGTAATTACACGAATGGAAATCGGGAGAGAAAGTGGTCTATTTTTTAAAAAATCTTTCCAAGTTGCTACGAGGTATAAAACTGGTTTTGCTTTCTTGAGAATCGTAGCTCGAAATTCTGTTCCAAAGCTTGTGACTATCGAAGTACCATAGACAGGTAACTTTTTTGGAAAATTCGCAAAGATTAAAAAAGACTCTGGTCAGGTAGAATTGGTGCTAAGAAGGGAAGTATTGTACATGCTTTATAAAAAGAAGCTCGAAATCTTACGTTTCTTTTAAATCGTTTGGAATTTTAATCGAAAATGAAGGATCTCAATTCATTGTCTAGTAATTAAAGATAGACTTTAAGAATATTGAAATCCGTGTCTTCGGTTTCGTTTCCATTCAAATACAGTAAATTGTCGAAAAAACACGTGTACGTAATTAATTCTAAGATGTATCAGTTGGTTCGTGGAATTATTTTACGCTTTCCATGAAATTACATTTAGATCGAGTGCATCGAAGAATATTTGGCGATATTCTATAAAAATTGGCAGTATACAAATAATTCACCATAGAGAATTAACGAAGAGTGTTGTAAATGGTTTTGGGATCTTTCAGACGAACTAACAATTTCTTTTTCTACCTAAGCGAAATCAGGTACTAATTACTTTTACCATTTCCAATTACCGTATCAAAGTCTTATCATTGATCTTTCTTTTACACCAGAGGCGTCAAGTAGGGTATGGTAGCTCTTGTGAAACCAAATGCTGGCTTAGGGGCATATAATACCGGACCTTACAGTTGAGAATTAAAAATTACAACAAATTAACCCTTTGGCTGCGATTTAATATGATATTTAATCATTGAAAATTATATTATTCCTTTTCTAAATTACTTTTAGTATTAATATCGTCAAAATTAAGATTCATTCTTACTTTACATTACCAGAAACATTTACATTAATAAAAAAAAAGAAGTAAAATCTTTTTTTTACTTATTAAAAAAAAAGGAAGGAGGCGACAAAGCTCCATACCTAGAAAAAGGCATCATTAACATGACGCCTCTGTTTTACACGCTAATAGGAATAAAAGATTTCTAATTTTAACCGGTACCATAATTTCTATAATAATTTTATTTCATTACTTCTGCGATTTTCTTTAGAATTATAATTGCCAATTAAGAACTACTATTTCAGACTCTTCAAGTTCATTTTGAATAAATTAACGAACTAACTTTTAGGGTAACTTTAGTTTAAAATAATCTTTTAAAGATATAGTAGCTCGAAAGGCTGTTTGAGTTAAAAATTCAAAGTAATATTAATTTTCTTTAATCACAGAACGAAAGGCACCGGTAAAACGTTGATATTGACTTGAAAATCAGTCGATAAGAAATTTCTCTTTCATAGAATACTGGAATTTCTATCAGAATTCGAGACAACGTTCAATGAATGATAAGTAGAATATTTGTTACAGAGTGTACAATATTTTTTACGAAGTCTGTTTCTCATTTTTCAAATACTTGGATAAAAGTTACAGTTGTTCTCTCTAATAGAGACTATAATTGAACCTTTGTATATGCACAAATTACAGCTGATTTTTCGAGACGAGAGCCTTTTTGATTAATTTTTTTTTTCTTCTCTTATAGATTACAATATGCGTATAATTGTTCCTAAGTTGTACTTACTTTCCAGGTTTCTACTGTATATTAGAAAACGCAAAACGAAATTTCTAACGATTCGTGCGACGAACAGAGACGAAGACCAGCTCCGCCTTCTTTACATATGTATATATCTTTTCTTCTAACAACATAAACCTTTCAATTCAATTTTTTAAGTCTCTAAGTGTTATTTTTGTGAGCACACGCCAGAGAGAAATATCAATCCATTGGTGATCACAACAGAAAGACACTAATTATGTTAAAAAATTTTAATTTACTTTCAATGCAGCTCCTTTTCTCAATTTTTAATATTAAATAAACTAAAACGGTGTACAGTGATTAATTAATGAATAGATACTTCCCTCGTAATAACAATGTAACTAAGAAAATCATTAACACGAATAATGTATTTCCCTAACTTATTATTATAGATCAGATAGACTATATATAAATTCCATTTACATTTTATTAATAGCATTTTTTCGCCGTTAATTGGTGAAGAACATAAAACCTCTTCATGATACGTCAACAGTCTATGATTCGTTTCCCTGAACACTCGTTATTCATCTCTCTCAGTTTTAGATTTAATAATTATTTTGATTAACATCTTATATTTAATTTAATCTCAGGATCCTTTTCTTTGAAAAGGGGTTTAATACTTTATCTGATTTTGATTTAATCATTTCATGACCACAGTTTATGAATCTCTGTTGTTGCATGGAAAATATTATTTCTTTGGCAGTAATTCTTTTCTTAAATAAATTTTTTAATTACCATAATAAGTCTTGGATCGAATCGGGCAATGATAGGGTCGGGTCGGGATAGGGTCAGCACATAAATTTATTCGGGTACCCGCAATTTCCCGACCTGAACCCGACCTGAATTATCGAGTACCCACATAACACTACCAATTACTAATATCCTTTAAACATAAACAAAATACCCAATAAATTCAACGATAATTATTCCAATATAAGGATAATTGAAATCGTACAATTTTAATAATCATCGGATATTCTCCATACAGCAACAGAGACTCCTGTATCATCGATCTACAAAAGCAGATGAAAATCACACGTAAAGTTCCACGTGGTTGGTGCTCGTTCACCAAAAGCTATCCACTTCCCGGCAAACCCGGCAAACAATGGTGATAGGTGTTAAATTCGAAATTTCCCGGTAGTCAAACGCGATCCGGGTAACTCGACCGCTCGTAATCTTATACGCGACCATGTTGACACGCACCGTTGGCCTGGCATCTGCCAATCGGTCCATCTACCGATTCGGCTCAATAGAATTTCCGATGACGCGAGATTTCAACGTCAACCGTCCTCTACAGAAACGTGTGTGCGTTCGAACACAGTCGACGATAATAGCGGCTCGTATTGTTCACGGATATTGCATGCACAAAAGATCGTCTCGATTAACCGAACCAGACCCAGTCTGGGATTATGCAGTTTCCACGAAACCGTGCGATAATTGTCGAATTTTAGAGAGCAATATCAACCTTAATGGGGTTCTATGGAAATAGCGCGACGTAATGAGCTTTTGGTTTAACGGAGGTTAATCGTCAATATTGGAAATGTACACCCTCCTGTACGAGTCATTGGACACTTGCATAAATTAACAAAAATAAGTAGTAATAATTAATGTAATTCATTTGTATCATAAAATTTTAATAAAAAGTTATTTAGCAGGGGTGTGCGGGTACCCGTAATTTCGGGACCGAAAGTTGACTCGAGACGCTAAACTTAATTACATCCGATAATATATAGAAATACTTTCAAACTTAAGAATTTAAGGTAGATCTGAAAGATGCAGTGTTGGTTCTCGAATTGAATTTCGGATCTTGAGAGCAGTTCGAGTACCAAGTTGATATTCGACCCGACCCGACCTGAGGTTCGGGTACCCGCAATATTTAGGATAGAGTAACGTCTAGATTTATCAAGTGTCAGACAACTTATACGAACAGGAATGTAATCGAGAAGCAAAGAACGGCAGCGAAGTAGGTAAACGAATGATTCGACTACAAACAAGAAACATCCTCTCGAGATTTCTTTTTCCTCACACGATTTTATGTTTCCGCGAAGGCAGTAGTGTCCTGAATTCTGTACGCTCGTAAAAATCCTCCATCGAGGTCGTAAAGTTCCACGAGTCTTCCTGCTGATGTTAGTCTTTCCATCTTCCTTCGAGTTTCCTGTTTGTCAGTGATCCAAAGGACTCGTACGAAATGTCACGAATGATCTATGACTCCCTATCATTATTTTCCACGATCTAAACAATAATCTTAGACCCAACCAAAGGGTACAACAACCAACAACTGCTGTGTACTTCAACATCTAATCACAGCTAAGTATCACCGTATCTCCGAACGTATCTTTTCCTCGAATTGATCTATTAGACGCTAGTAGTGATCTGCTCGATCACCGTGACGTCGCGATGACGTCTCGGTCGACTCCTGTAGGAGTCCTGATGGCTCAGACCCTCTGGTACGCTCTTGCTGGGTCTCAGAGGTCCGTAGAACTGTGGCTGATAATAATGATCGGCAGTGTGCATCCTCTCCATCTCCCTCTCCCGTAGGTTCTCTTCGACGTCTAACGGCACGTGAAGAGACTGAGACTTGGGTAACCTGGGCCTGGGTGGCGGTGGACAGGCACACGGCGGCGGGACGTTCACGCTCGATAGATGCGACCCTGGTAGAACCGGTGATACTGGTTGTCGACCCCAACCGACCAGAAAAAGTAACGCTGCACCGCACAAGGAACTTAAAGTGCACGCGTAGTAACCCACCCTTGGGCTGTTCGCGTTCATGTAACCTGTAATCCAAGAATTAGGATGAGTTAGTTTAGAGAATTCAGGGTGTGATTAGAAATCAACACTAGAATAGAACTAAGATCCTTGATGTTAGAACCTAGATCCTAGGGATTCCTATCCTCCAGTCAGGAGAACCTTGAAATCTAAAACACCTGCTACCTCGTCGACTCTTTAGCAGGATTTTCTCAAACAACAAACGTTTATTTGTGTACTACTTAATCGTCGAATGGCAGGTAGTACACTCCACTTAACCAAGTACACAGCCAGACTCTCGTTGACCTAAACTCCAACGAACAGCAAAGCGTGTACTCGGTGTGGAAAACAACAAACAAACAGAACCAAACTCGCGCTACTTTGAAAGATCAACATCTTCGGTTAGATAGGAAAGGATCGCGATGTCATCGGTACTTGTACTGAAAGCTGTGGTGTATTCTCTCTTAAATCTCTTCGGGCCACTGTCAACCAAGGAATAAAAGCGATTTACCAGTAAGAGGAACTCCGAGAAGAATAGGTAGAGCTTCCGCAGCTTGTACGAGCGCCCAGGATCGTGCAAAGTGTCTCGCCCTCAGTCTTTCGAGAGCCAGCATTTTCAGAGAATAAAGAGCCCCACCGAGAGAGGCGCCATAGAGTCCGGACGCCAAGACCAGTCCGTGGTAACCTTGCACACTGCCCAGTGCAACTTGAGCTATAGCTTTAAAATAGGAAACACAGAGATGCTTAAAATACTTCAATCTAATTTATATTAGAAGGGTATATGGTAGAGTATAGTACTGTTGATGGGTTATACTAGTAGAGTACAGTAAGCTCTCCATATCTTACTACACTCTACCTCCTATCCTTGGTGCCTTGGTTATACTACATGTATTAGTAGAGTGAATATAGTGCTCTGATAGATTTACAATAGTAGACTATAGTACTCTTGCTATATTACCACTTCTTGTTATACTACCTTCCGTACTCTATTAATCTACTTTTTCTATCCTTAAAACCTAATTTTTAACCAACTTAGAAAAAGGAGGAGGTTCCTCAATTCGATCAGTATATATTTTTTTAATGATTTGGTTCTGAATACACGACAAGGATTCTTCTATTGTGATTTGATACTCCATGTTTTAAAAAATTTCAATCCTGCCCGTTTCTTAAAAAGTTTGGTGACCCCTGCCCTACTACCTTATTTTCCTTATTCTTAAAACCTAAAGTTACTGTATGCATATTAGTATAGTATTTTCCATCTAAAAATATTATTCAAATCCAGAAATAATTTTCCATATAAATAGAAATTTCCATACAGTCGCTTTAACAAACGACAGAGTGTTAGACATACATTTTGAAACAAATGATGATGCGAGTTCTAGTTCTAGTTGCAGAGAGTGGCAGGATATAAACGTATGGTGAACAGAGGTACATCCAGTATGGACGTTTCAAGATTGCCATTTATATTTCAACACAGAGATCCCAGCTAGTAGCGAAGCCACAGTTTATTTCGTAATCCTCTTACCGTGCACGGTCATTAGCGCAGATCGGAAATAAAGCAATGAAACGGTGTTCTGTAGCCCGTTAAGCCTACATAACACCATATCATGATAGACCGTATGTAATTAATAGGTGGAATATCGATAGGAAACCTATCGAGCTATTTGATCGCTTCCATACGCTTTAACAAATATATTAATGAATTGTACATACGATAGATTGAAAAGGGTTGAATGTGGAACAGGTTAGGATGGGGTTAAGATTTTTCTATGACGATTTTAATCCCCTTTGGGATGAACGACTTAGCAAACTGAGATAATGAGGTAGGCGACGAAGTAGTGGAAGACAAAGATGTTGAGAAGTAGTTAAGAATAGGGTGAGAATGATGATGAGAGTCTGAGATGCGATGATGATGACATCTAAGGTAACGCTGAAGCGAAGAGGGTGAAAATGAAAAAGAACGTCCATTATAGCGCACACTGACATTAATTCATTAAATGCCGTGGGATCACTGATAAGCCACATTACAAATTCAATATAATATAAGGGGTATGCGGGTATCTGAAAATTGGGGTCAAATTCGGGTTTAAAAGGGACCCTGTAAGTTTGTCCAATACATAAACTTGTTCGAATACCCATAATTTCGGGACCCAAACTCGACACGTATACCCGAATACAGTACCCGCAGCTGATCCGATCACTACTCGCCTCGATCTAACTCAACCCTATCATTACAGGACCTGACCTGATTATTACTCGACTCGACCTGATCTTTACCCAACCCGACCAAAAGCTCGGTATCTGCACACACCTAGTATGTATTTACGAAACCTGAATTCAAAAATGTGTGTGCTCATTTTATTTCTCTCATAAAACTCAGACAATTGTAATTTATAGCTTAATTACGATTTCTACAGAATTTCCTGAAATTTTGAATGTTTTCATTTTACAAATTGAACGTTATCACTGCTGCTTTATCATTGATAACTGGTTACTGATTTAAGCTCTCCATGCAATTGTATCGTTCCACAATGGTCGAGATAATAACAATACAACAACAGTGAACTCGGTAAAAATTTTGTTTGAATAAATAACAATGGTTTATCACACAATTCATTGTTATTGAATAATACGATTATAAATAAATATGAAAATAAAATGACAAAGATGAAATCATGAAAAGTTTACACATCAAATTCCATCATATTGTATTTCATGACAGCTTTACATTTATTCGATAAATAATTTCTTTAATTCAACAAAATGCATTAATGTTTGTCTCATTAAAAAACGAAGGAAAATACATAGGTAAACTTTTTCCCGGATGGTTTATCTGCTGGCAGGTGAATAGTAGTGCCAGCAGTAAACTCGATCCAACAGGACAGGGATAAGCAGCTTTTTGGGCTTGGGACTTCTCGGTTGTATATTTAGCTCTTGGTTGTCAGCTCTCCTTTTTCGTCGTGAAAAAGGGACGCTCCGCGTATCGTGGAGCTCGCGCGTGCCTGTGTACGTGGATGAAAATACAGTTCTCCACTGATTACGAGTTACGTTCCATGGAATTTTTGCTCGCACGTTTTGCGTTTCAACCCTTCTTCCAACTCGTCCGCGTCTACGTATTGTCGTTGCCGAGCTAGAGTCATGAATTTTTAAACCGTCGAATGTTTATTTTATTTCTATTTTTCACTCGCACAACCAAGTCTGGATCAATCAAGATCGAAACTTAAAATTAAATGCATAATTTTTCAACAAAACAGTTAATAATTTGTAAAGAAACAGTGAAAAACATAGAAAATGAAATACAAAATAACATTTAAAATTCGGGCTCTCTCCATGGTCCGCCGACGGAGGGTTAACTGAAATAGAAATAAAAATTTCGAAGAGAAATCAATCCAGGTGTAATTTCAACGACAGAAATACATTCAATAATTAATCCAGAACCAAATTCACCTCCTTCTACCTACGTTCAGAAATCGATCAGCAATCCAATTAAAGCTCACCGCCAGAGAAACAAACAGAAAAATATATTCCACCGAGACCAACGACAGATTGAACCGCGACCATTGAAAGAACTGGAGAATCGGTTGATCAGTTTATTTCGATAACAAAACCGCTTCGAGGCGGTTCCGATTCCGTCGGTCGAGTTTTAAATGCGCTTCCTCTGTCCAGAGGCAAGCCCATTAACGATTGCAACGGCCTTCTATCCGCGATATTCGCCTCCGTGGCCAAAGGTAAAGAACACCGGGACGAAAGGGATGGAAAGGGTGGCGAAGTATCAGGCTCGGTAGAGACAGGGTGGTCTCGGGACAGAATGGAAAATACTTTGTGTCGGGAACTCTAGTCAAGCCGAGGGTAAGCCAGCTGAATGAGGGGCAAAGACGTGTATACGGCTGACACTCGAAGAGCTCGCCGGCTTCAAAAGGGTGATAGAGCCTTGGTAGGGGTAGAGAAAGTCTACCCCGGACTTGAATGAGGGCTATACGTTTAGAAACCTCCGGACGACGAACCTTTCTAGGCGAAAGCATAACACGAGCGATGGCCAAGGATCTAACCCGTTTCTATTCCACCACAATGTGTACAGGATGGTTAAAAATATAGGGCAAGAAATTTTTTTCACGAAGTTCATTAACGATTTCTTTCCTTATTTTGTAATTTTTTATATGGATTCATAGTGGGATAGGGGTTGGTTAATTTAAGGGTATGCTACGACCTACAAGACCACAATTTCATGTATACTAACCGACTCCTAGGAGCGCCGCCTGGCAGAGGTATTGCCTGGACACCAGACACTGCGCAGATGGTCTAGCGGTTACAACTCCCCAAGCCGCACAACCGAGGGCTGCTGCCAAACCCAAGCAAGTCTGCAAAAGCACCACAGCACTGGCCTCTAAACCGTCTTTGTGGCCCTGCACAGCCTGAAAGGGATGTTGCTCATTAGAACAGAGTTCCTCAAAATTATTTTACCTATTATCCCCCATGCTTTACTCAGCGCCGCCTGAAAATCTACCTTCCTTAAATAAATGAACAGAAAGATGAGATGCAGTGACAAATTTATGCCTTCCAATTAAAACTGAGGCTTCTAATCCCCTCATTCCCGTGAACCGTTCCAGCGTTCATAAAGAAGAGGTATCGTCTATTTTAGGAAGTTATTGCATTAGAAATTTATAACAAAGTGGACATTAACTAGCCGGATCAATGTTGGACAGTATGAAATATAGAAAAGGAAAGTGGAGGTTTGTCTGAATCCCTAAAAGCTCCCTAAGGGTTACCTAGATCTATATTGACCTAGACAGACGACGAGAGTTTAGAAGCCACCAAGAGACAATTTCCTGACACAGGTAACACAGAAAGGTCACTTGTTCATTTTCAACCCATGTAGACTTCGCTTTGCAAAACATGGTACTAGTAAAACTGCTGTTAAAAAAGTCGTGTTACTGTTGTCACGTTTCTGAATAGAGCCTTGGGGAGCTTTTACAAATTCATTGTTTCATACACTTTGTTCTTCCATGGGTTTTAATGTAAAGTCTATATTGCTATCATACGACCTATAAGTATTCTTTGAGTTCCAATGGAATTTTTGTACTCATAGGATACCCATGTGGGTAAAATTAGAATTTTTATGAATTCATCACTTTTAATTAACTTATTACTCGTATTAGGTATTAGATGTATAGATAAATTAATTCTTAATTATTATTTTCAATTTGAATATTTTCCCACCCTTATGTATTTGAAAAGTTGTGCGAGAAAATAAGTCTTCCATTTAAAAAATAAACAGGGAATTAATTTGCAATCATGGATAGTAAAAATAGTGAAATATAAAATTTGCAATAGTTTCTAATTCTGAATTAAACAACATATCACTAAAATTTTCACTTGTGTTTATGGAAATATTGGAAAAACTGATCGTCAGTAAAGTGAACTTCGAAAAGTTATTTAACAGAAAAGCTTACACAGCTACAAGTTTCATGGTGCATGGGTTGTTTGAAATGGGCTGGTCACACAATATTGAGCTGACCTGCGAGCGTACAGATTAGGTACAACTACGAAACACCGACCTACGTGTATACAACTAGTAGGGTCAATCTCGATTATATGTTTGTAAACCGGTCAACTTTGTTCAGACTTCGTTGGATAACGAAGTTGACGACTGCGACCTCCCCTATGATTCCCCTTGCAACTGGTCGTATAGGCGTGCTTCTGGCAGCTTGAACCTAGGGACAGAGCTGCTTTTGAAGTGCTTCGTGTTGGAGAACCGAGTCTTTGAGATGGCGTGGATTTGTTGTATCAATGTTACAATTTGATTGTGGGAATCCTATGTTTATAATTAGTCGCCTTAGAAAGTGAAAATATGTAAACTCCAAAATTCCAATATTCCAAAACTCTAAAGTTCCAAAGTTTCACAATTCCCAAATTCAAAAATTACAAATTTATAAAATTCCAAAATATGTAAATATTTTTTATAGGCAATGATTGAATGAAAGATTAATTATTTTTAAAGGAATAAATGTAATTTTCAGCTTACAAAATGGCGAACCACTTTCAAAATATGAAAATAGAAATTAGGATTCCAAGTGTTTACCGGATAGCAAAACGAAAATTTCATTCACAATTAATATCTGCATCACAAACAGGTACTTCTGAGTGGGTTAAAGCTAATTGTAAGAACAGTCGAGGAAGCTGTCTACGTCTAAGAATATATGGTAATTAGGGTACTCACGATGTAAAAGGCAGGAGTGTAAAGGCCGAAACCAGCAGCTCCTGCAGCTAACATTAACATCCTGACGGGACGACTACCCAGAGGGCTGAGGTCTACCCATGGTTGCCTGGGCACCCTGGTAGCGGACTTCTTCTCTTTCACTTTGCCACGTTGATTTTTCAGGTGTAACATGGCTCGTCGTTGAGGATGATAGAGGGAGGCACTCTTGTAAATCAAACCCAGGAAGAAGGCCAACGAGAGAGCTCCAGTTACAGACTGCATACCACGCTCCCAGCCCAGCTTTCTGAGGAAACAGTGTGTTGTTATGGTTACGGGAGGCTATATTTTTAACATAATTTAATTTTATCAAAAATAATTTATGAGGTGAAGAAAATGTAGATAAAGTGTTAACTACTATTTATGTACCCCCATAAATATTAGGTGCACAAATTAATTCTGTACCTTTTCTTTTTATTTCAAGATATATTTTTAATAGTTATAGCCACTTTGCAAATACACAAAGGTGTAGGAAAATATTCAAATTTAAAATAATAATTAAAAGGGCGTAATGATAAAAGCACCAAATTAATTTGTATATCTATTATAATAATATGAAAACTTAATATTAAAGTAAGAAAATATTTTGTTCTTAAGCTGGTAATTATTTATTAATAGTAATTAACCCCTTTTGATTGACGAGCTCTGAAGAGGACCATAATTTTAATTTAATTTTGTACTTCATTTGTCATTTTTTTTGTACTGTATTTTCATTTTCGAAATTTCACCCTGCTCCTCGAAAAATTATTCTTCGAATATTTTGCAGTCAAGAAATCCTTGGTAGAAAAGATTCTCTGAATGACGACACTGAATGTAACCATATAAGTAGAATAAGTACACTTTTAGTCAGACAAGTAGATCAGGTTCATGTTCGCCCAACTATTAAATAAAACTCTAGGTCATTTGACAAGTGAACAAAGATTTTTCATTTTCATGAGAACTTTGATAGAATTACAAAAGTGTTTAACAGACAGACTGTTATCGTTAACAAGATGCTCGAAAAATAGCGAAAATACGGGGAGAAAAAGTATTCAGTGTTTCTCTGTTAGGATCACAAAACGATCTCGTCGTGTATACATAGTTTAATGCCAGTTGGAACAAAGGCTTCCAGCTATTTCGAGGTTCTCTTTGACGGCAGAAACGTCACCGAATGTTTCGTGCTGCTCCAACGTTATGAACTTTGCGGTCGCTTTGACCGTAAGCACGAAGAAAACGGGAACTGCAGCTTGGCGAATCCATCATGCGACTCCGTGTGTAATTTCGTCGGTAGAATCAGTGTTCCCGGTCTCCTCAGGGAGCAGCAATCTTTTCTTAACGGGATTTCTCGTTCGCGAAGTAGATTGCATCCAGTTGACAGGTTATTCTTTGAGCGGCGACTGAAATATCAAAAAGTCTTTTCTTCCTCGAACCACCAGTGAATCGTTCCTATATCTTCAGCTATAAATCAGCTGTTATTTTCCAAAGTGTTGTAAGCCAAATTTTTAAAATAAAAAAAATAATTTCAATAAATTTCCTATTGAGAGTTTACAAAATATAAATTTCCTCTTCAAGAAAATTTCAAATTCTTTGAGAAAAGAATTTTGCATTCTCAGCACCTATTAATGAAATTTAAACAAGGTGTTGCACTTCTCGCACTAACTAAATATTTCTCCACTTTCTTAACAGAGAGAATAACATCACGTTCACGATGGTGCCATCTGCTAACTTCAACAATTTCAATTCTCTCTCCGTGAGATTGTCGGAACTCTCGTATGAAATACAAAGAGGTCAGAGTAGGTGTGCATCCATGAAAGAGGCGTGCACCCTGGTCGGCCACGTTTTCAGCTGTTACCAGGGGAACCCACCCACAGGATTTTTCGTGCAACCTGTCGTCCCACGCACCACGATAAATCTACCTCTGGCTTCTATCTCCAGGTCACCACGTACAGGTAAGTTTTCCAAGAGGAAAATAGAAGAGTGCTGTTGGATGTATCTCGCGTGCGGTACGAACTACGGTGAAACGATAGAACCATGTCGCTATCAATCAAACGCCGGACGTTTCATTAATCAATGATCGAAACGATCACGCTATCGTTGGATCGATGAAACGTCGTTTTTCTGATTGAAGTACGCCTTTGGGCGTGATCGAGATGAATATATTTCATTTTTCAAGGAATTGGGAAAAGAAAGACTGAAATGTTTTACTATAACATTGAGAAGTCGAACAATTCCGATACGACCCGAACTGAAATGAATTGAACCGAACCGAACCGAACCGAATAATTTCGATTCAATCCAAATCGAATCGAAGAATTCTGACTCGACTCTACTCTAATTATTACTGACAATAAATATCTTGAAAAATTATTTAGTTAATTATTTCACTAAAAGAAATGCAACGGCTGTTACATTGCACCTGCAATGCAGTAGATTCGCAAACCATGGATCACTTATCCAGTAGGCCGGGTAAAGCATTAGTCTTCCAGCAAATGGCTACAGTTCTGTCTGATGTTTGACAATTAAGCTATCTTAACGATGCAACAAGTCATTCGTTAATGCGACACGTTGCACACGAAAATCTCGATAATCTATTAACGGCGTGCCCTTTGACGTTGACGATCGGATTAATCGACTGAAACACAAGGCTGTTATTGCGACTAACAAGACCTACTCTAATTAGCTTCCCTTAATTGTGAATTATGTGGACCGTTTTGTTAAATAGGAAAAGTGTTTTCGCAGTTAATCTTAGAATTTTATCCAAGTAAGAATAAACAATTTCCAATCTTCCAAGTAACCTACTTTCGGTAAGATCATTCGTTCGAATAAGAGACTTGGTATCATAAAATTACCATCTAGTGCATTAAGGAACACGAAGAGAGAAATGCGGCTCCTGTTTCCAGCTCCGAGCAACAGGAAGTAGAACGATAAGCGGAAAACGTTTCGCATCAAAGTAAACCCTTCGAAGCTCGCGAGATAAACTGATCCTCTAAGCAGATTCGAGCGTTCTCAGCTTTTAGCCTTCGAGTTTTCCTCGTTCTACTTCCGTTTCCGCCAAGGGATTTAATTGTGAACACTGTGTTGATCGAATTTTCATCAGTCTCCCTGGTTCGTTTAATTAAAAGCATTCGAGGCGAACGTTTTCCCCGTTCGTCATTCGCGTTTAATATTCTTCACGGCGAGTGTGATCGATCCATTAACGTAATTAAGAAGTACGAAAGGAATAATACGAGTTGTGAAGAATTGTCTTCCATGGTTTCTGAAGATTAAGAGATTACGGGGTTCTTAGTTCTATCTGCGAATAGAATAAGATTGCTTTTAGTCAGACAATACATCCACTTTCTATAGTAATTATTTATTAATTAATTGCGAAAACAATTCTATTTCAAGAAAATTAATACAATAGCTTACTTTGAAATGTTATATAAAAATATGTTAAATCAAAATTTCGAATTTTGTTAAAAGGCTCTCTACATTATATAAAATTATATAAAAATTTCTTCAATCACAGGAAGAACGTCTTTCCAGAACGTAAAATAAGACAGTGTCTGTTCAGACAATCAAAGATCTACCTCATACAAAAATCATAAAGTGTCTTTTGAAAGAAAGAAAATAGCGGTTCAATCAATTTCACCAATTCCAATTTCCCTGTCCAAATACTAATATAACACGAAAGAAGTAGTCGATGGGTAAAATCATTCAGAATCAAATGTCTCTCTTTTTATCGACGAAGTGGTATCGCGTCGAGAGATCGAGAACTAATTGTCTGTCGAGTGATTCTCTATTCCGCGAGGAAAACATCAAAGGAAAAACAGAGATCAGAAGTTGTCGTTTAAGTATCGACAGGCGACCACGTCTAAATTACGACGATTGCCTTGTCAGGAAATTCTTTTTTCTGTGTCGAACATACGCGCTACCTCGATAATCATCGAACGCCTGAATAGAGAGAGAAAAAATCCCGTATGAAATAATTGGACGTCCATTTCCGTCTGGGTTCTCGTCTGCTCGAACGATAGAACGGTTTGTTTGCTGTTCCAGATTGCTATTCGTTAGAATATCGACGTGCTTTCGCGCGAATTGTCAATCTGGGATACTTTTAGATGATATGTCCCCGATAAAATGTCGGCATACAAGGTTGGAAAACAATTCAGTTATCAGTTTGACGGATTAAGCAATTTTATAGCATTGTTACACATTACACAGAGACGTAGTCGTTGACAGATAAATTCGTGAACTTCATACTTTTCTACTGTATTATTTATTAAAATTTAATTATTATTACTTTTGATATAATTTGTGTAGTTTTGAGGTGAAATATCGAACTGAAGAAATTGCGAATTTATTTGCCAAATTAATGCTTGTCCGACTTTTGATTGACTTATACTACTTAATTTTTACAACGTACTATTCAGTCGCTATTCCCGACTTTCTTCTCATTTAAAAAGATGAAATAACATTGGAAAAGTGTCAACTTATAAAAGCTAGGTCCAAACTTAACCGAAAATTAACCATATGAATGCAAATGACAAAAAATTTCAAACAGAAAATAAATAAAAAATGGACTTAATAAGTAGATCTCTATCAGGATCTACTTCATTGACTGTGGTCGGTTGGTTTTTCATTTTACATTTTCAAATAGCCTCAGTTACCACCATTTTTAATGTACGATGCCCTAATTTTCATAACGATCTCCATGAAAAACTCATAAAAATATTAAAAATAATTTCTACAAATCCAGTGAAAAATATGATTAAAAGCATCAACGAAGAGGAGCAGAAGGAAGCAACTATTTTTTAAGCCAGTATTAACGTCAAGCAGAGGTTCGTCGAAATGAGGATTCCTCGGAGCGCATCAGCGTTGGAGATGCTAGCGATAACTTACCCGACCGCTTCCCTGTAGAAGACGCTGAAGAGTACTATTCCCACCCCAGTGCCAGCTTGCACGACCATCTCGACGAACTCCCGTCGTTTCCTGAAGTAATGGCCCAGCACTAGTCCGGCAGTTTCCCTTACGAGGCCAGCACCGGTTCCCAGCACCACACCGTAGCTGTTACATTTTGCAAAAGGTGAATCGTTTCGATTCCATGGCGAAGATTCAAAACTGAGAAGCGATCAGACGAGCATCGCATGAAACGTTCCCGGACAGGTGTGATACGTGAGGAAGTGAGAAGTTTGAAAGCACTCGTGTGCCTTGGATTTATGGTTATCGCAACTCGAACTTGAAAACGGGAAACGATATCGTTTAGTCGTGTCTAGGATTTCGACGGTTTCGTGAGAGGAAATCTGTACGAGGGTGAAAGATGGTTTCTCTTGCAACTTTTCAAAGAAAACTGGTGGCGTTATTTATTTAAAACGGACACGCAGAGGGAATGATATTTTTCTTTCAAAACTTGCTGCATACGTTTACTTTTCTATCGATTTTTGTTTCTATGTGTAGTAAGAAATGGGTATTCTAAAAGTTTTGAAAATCATGGATTTTTTAGTATTTTATACTAAAGTGAAAGTAATAAAATAGTTTTGAATGGTTAAAATTTGAATATGTAAATTGGTGTTTGTATGGATATCTGCATTGAAACAAAATCATCATAGTCTATCGAACAGTGCTGTTGTATTGAGAAAAGCTTGACGCTTAACGTTCAATTAGAGTCGGTTAGGTGGTTAACTATGTAGGTACGATAATCTAACGGTAACCATTAAAGCGATTAAGAGGCTTCTTACTCACCTAAGAAGTACCTGGTGCAGTTCAACAGCGAACGAAGTGAAGAGCGAGGCCAATGCCAACACGAGACCGCCAATCACAGCCGTAAGCCTTGTACTTCCTCGACGACACGCGCCAACAACCAATGGAGCAGAACCACGGGAAACTGCAGCACTCAATGCTCCCACCCATGCTGAAACATTAATTCGATAGTTAGTAGGAGTTCGAAGGGTAAATGTGTGGGGATTTTGGTCGCATCTTCTATTCATCCTTTACCAAAACAATTCTATATAAATTAGTTAATTATGGGAGCTTAAGAAATAATGGTGAAATGAATATTAAAAGCTTCCCAAATTTTCCAATTATTCTAATTTCTCTCCTTCACTATTAGCGATAAAATATCATTCTCCCTGCGTGTCCGTTTTAAATAAATAACGCCACCAGTTTTCTTTGAAAAGTTGCAAGAGAAATCATCTTTCACCCTCGTATAGATTTCCTCTCACTAAAATCCTCCAAGTTCTTCAAGTTTTCCAAGTTTTTTCATTTCTCCAAATCAACATCGAAAACCTTTTAAAATTCCTGATTTCATACTAAACAAACAACATCCACTTCGAACCTAGGAAACTAATTGTTTATCAAACTTCCATGATGCTAAAGTTCTCCAAGTCGTGGTCACGATCGATATCACGTATAAAAATTCCAGCTGTTCCCGCGCGGACACGGTGTTGCAGATATAAGAGCGGAAGCGAAGGAACATGCTTTTTGCATTATTCATCGAGAGACTCGAACGTGCTCCCTTTGTTCCCGCTTACTTCCTTTAAACTCCTATTCGCCCATTTTTCTTTCACGTAGAACAGGGAACCTGTAGCCGGGGACCAAGAGGAAACTTGGACAATAATTTTCAGCGGTATTAAACGGCAAGAGGCCGCGACGTGTCTCATCGATTTCCGGTTAGGCTGTGAGATATTAGCTTGGCCTGATAACGCCGATAAGCACGGGCCTCGATGCAGCCGGGAAAGTTAATGAGATTTCTCGTTCGTTCGAGCCTTTGTCCCCTTCCGACCATTTGAAATTACCACCTTGATTTACATCGGTACCATAGAATCTAAGGGAAATAAAGTTTGAGAAAATATGACATTTACTTCTTAAACTGTTCGCTTTCCTTTTTAATTAAACCTTCGTACATTCTTGGAATAAAAAATAGGAAGAATATTGATTCTTTAATAGTGATTTGTAGGACATTCTAATGGTTAGATTTTAGTTGATAGTTTACAGAATTTCAAAAGCTCTCCTTCATTTTGGAACTTTACCTTCGTTAGAGTTACAGTAAACGTTCCTCATCCAACTCTTCTATACATACATGCGAACTTCAATTGATACGTTTCAGTTCGATAAGCACGCTTTAGGGTGCTTCGCTCTATTAACTTCTTCAATCTGAAAATTGTTGCCGCAACAGTTTCGACAGCCCTGTTCATGGGGATTCAACGACAGGGAACTCGATGTACGTGACCGATCCACGTTTCTCTAGCTACTGATTAAAATCTCGAGAGATCAGACAGTTTAGTGATTAAAAAGATTCCATCGCCTAAACTTCTACAAAAATTTATGTGGAATTAATAATGAAGAGAAACCTGTAGAGTAGATACATTTAAATTTTTTTCATGATTCTTATATTTTCAATAAATCATCTAATTTGTTTTGTGTGAGAAATTCAATTAGAAACTTCATAACATTTTCAGACCAATTAACGACAATGTTTAAACTAAACATAGTTCGTGGCACCTTGTGTAACCACTTAAATAATTTCGTCAAGTTAAACAGGAGTTAAAACTTATTGGAACTTTATACAACAAACGAACTATGAACTTTCTACTATATTTTCGTGAATATCTTTACGAGAAACGATAAAGTATCGTAAACTTTAATATTCGACTAATAATATTTCAAAAATCGTTATATTTGAATTCTGAAATTTCAGAATTGTAATATTCGACTACCATTATTTTAAAATTTGCTATATTCAAATTCTGAGTGGTAGATTTCTATAAATTATTTTATACAAAAATTATGAAAGTTTCGTTAACGAGCAACCATAGCTGTTGAGAACGTGAAATACCGCGGTGATAATACCGATAAGATTACTCCATGCTCCCCTTCTTCCTTTTTCCACGGAGTTCCTGAAAGTTTTCTATTAAACAGCCCCCATTCTCGTAACTTTACTACCTGCTGATTTTGAGCTCGCGGTTTCCGGGCGAAATGGCAAAGGCTCGGGAGGGACTTCCGCTGACGATGCAGCTTTATAAATACCACGTGAAAGGAGGAACTCGAAGGTAAAACTGAATAACAGAGATTTGAAAGGAAAGTTGACGTAACTTATACGTATATAAAATGACCTATGTGAGGTATTTAACCTTTTCTCTGTAAATAGAAGGTACAAACACACCCCAGGCTAATACAAATTTTTATATACCTATTTTCTTAAAAATCAACGAAATTTAACAACGTACGTACGCAAGTTTTTTCTTTACATTTTGCATTGAAAATAAACCCCTGTAGAAGGTTATAGAGCTTTAGCTGCTTCAAATTTAATTTTGTATTTCATAGTATTTTCATTTTCTATATGGTATACTGTTTCTTTGAAAATTATTTGTATACATTTCACTTAGGTTAATATCCTTGTGTACGTATTGTAATTTTGGATCACGATTGACCCAGGCTCTCCTGCTCGAGGCTTAAAACCCTAAGGACTTATAACAAAGTAGAGTTTTCAAAAATTGTCAAACCTGTTCTCCAAGGTTTTCGAGGTAAAATATGCCCTTCGCCAGCCACATGCCTCGTAGGGATGTCGCCGAAATGAAAAACGCGAAAAGAAGGGACAACGATCTTTCGTTGAATATCTGAATAATACCAGCTACCCAGGCATTTTGTCAGCGAACAATTCAGGGAGAAATTTTTGCGATAATCATCGTCGCCTGGTCGGGTTTTGCCGCCGGAAACGCTCGTAATATTCGGCAGGATATTGTCCAAATGTTGGACCTTGATGAAGGATTTAGAAATTATAATTAAAAATCCAGAATTATAAAATAATATTTTTATGAATTTACGAATGTATAACAAATTTTAATTAAACAAATTAAATGGTGTATTAAAAATAAATCGTTCAATGAATTTCAAGTGGAAAATAAATATTGTCCAGCAGCATCGTAAATGGAGAATATTCTCTGCTCGACTTCTGTTCTATCGTCTGTTTCAGCTTCAACAGGTACCGAGCCGGCTCGATTGGCCGCGAATAATTCAACAGCACGGACATTTTTAGCCGCGTTGGTGAACTAGAGCAAGGAACTGATCGCACAAGATTCATGGTAGATCGTATTCCCTCGAAACGAACCGTTTCTATGGAATTTCCAGGCGACACATCGCCAGAATCCACTATAAGATCTTTTCGACGATTTTCTGAACTATTCGCGATAGAGTGATTCCTTTCAACTTGACGTTGTTTGCTGAATGAAAAATTTGGAAAAAACAGAAGAATTTTGGACAATGAATTTCAGTGGGGAAAGAAGTGATTTGTTTTCTAGGAATTTCGTGATCGATACTAATTGAACTTTGCAAACTCAATCGGTATTGTAATCGAGTTCCACGACTTCCGGGATTACCTTAATCGAGTTTTACAAACTGCTGAGCTACTGGCTAGAATTCATTCTTATATATAGAATATTGTACTTGGATAGTTAATTTTCAATTTTCTTGGAATCAGGGAGTCTATATTTTAGGATCACTATATTAAAATTTTATGGATTCAGATTTTATTTAACTAAAGTTCTAGAATTTGAGAATTTTAATATTCAATTATCCTTATTTCAAAATTCTAATATTCGGCTATCATTATTCCAAATTTCGCTATATTTGAATTCTGAGCGCTCGACTTCTATAAGTTAATAAGCAAATAATTTCCTGCATGAACTCATTTAAACCCTAATTTAACCCTTCCATGTACCTCGTCTCCCTCCACGAATCGTTCTTTCTAATGCCACGAAAGGGCAGGCAAGCGGAATTAACGAATACCAATAATCGAACCATTGAACGGTCGTGAAATAAAGGCTAGCCAACGGTATTTTAGCGGAGGCCTTCATTAGCTGAAAGTTTTGATTGCGGTCCGCTCTGTCTGCTTCCAGAAATGGGACAAAATTTACTGGTCCAAAGTTTCACTAGAAAATTTACGATAATCACACGTAACCGTCATATTAAATTTCTTAAAGAAAAAGTATAAATATAAGAAGCATTTAAAAGATAAAAATTATAATCAGATATATCAATCATTACAAACTTATAAAAGACATAATAAAAAGTACAATGTACTTTCCTCGCAATTCGATCTTTCCTTTTTTGTCTATGAAAACTTTTCCCGTCACGTTTCACCGAGAGGAGACGTTGGAATTTTCTCGTGAAATTGCTTCAACAAGAACTTCATCCCAGTTTAGTAATGCTTTACAGATTGCGTTCGATGTCACTCGTTTAAACAACCTCATCCGACACGGTGGCTGCGGAAAATTGATCTGGCATCCGGCCAAAAATTCGAGGGACCTAAGAGGTTGATCGCTTCTCAAGGAGCGGATAAGGACGTAAACGACAGCTTAATACGTGTAATTGACATCATCTTCAGCTAATTTTATTATTAAACAGCACAAATAGTGCAAGACGGAAAATTTTTAAAAACCTTGTCAAAATGGGATGCTATGACCACGGTCAATAGCAGAAAAAGAAAAACAGAAAAAAGAAAAAAAGAAAAAAAAATTTTGCAGAAAAAGCAAAAATGAATGAATGAACTGTTTAAAGAAACTTATACCGATCCTACGACAAACTTAAGAGGAAAGGGTGAAAATCGAAGAGTAGAGGAGAAACAGCTTAATGAGCTAATTGAATTTAAATTAGCATTAATTTAATAGTAAGCTTGAAATTTTATAATTAATATATTTGCGGCAATCAACGTGTTAAAATATTTGTAATGCTCGAAATTCGAATTTAATAAATTTTTAGGTCACATAATTCGTTTAGAAAGAATTTCAGAATTATAGAAGTTGAAACAAAAGGATACTATTAGAAGACACATGGAGTGCACTTTAATGCATACACGAACTTCCTCAACTCCGGTAATTGCGCTCGGATTATCAAGTGACGTCTGACTGCTGTACA